AACACACAGAGCCGTAGAGTGACGAGACAGCTTGGTATGGAGGACTTGTTGAAAAAACGTTGTGACTTCTCCGATCTCAGACGCCTACCTATAGGGACATACCCTGCCCCTCTTTTAACGTACCTAGTTTTATGGTGGTACTGTATGATGTGAGATGTAGCAACGGATGCCTTGATGAATCTCAACATCTGCTGCAGTATGTTCAGGGCTGCATGCGCACTGCAAGGGCTCATGTAAACTAACCCTCTAGGCCCAAACCAGTAAACCCTCAATCTCAAAATGCAAGGGCTTCATGCTGTGAAGACCAAATCTCCAACATGAGCCCGAACAAATGCACTTGGCCTTATAGCTACCAGGAAGCTTGCAGAACTGGAAGCGCTGGTTGGTCAAAACATCCGAAGTGTGGTGCAGTAGGGTATAATGAAGTTGCATTGAAGCTATTGAATTAAGCGTGGTGACACTAAACCAACAAGCGCTGGTAAAACCTCAAGACCTCATTAAACCCTAAACCCGCAAACATAAGTCCTGTAATTGCCGCAGGGCGCCGGAGATGGTGCGACGACAAATTGTTACGCCACCTCGGGCAAAACCACAGCAGGAAATCACAAGACTTAGCCTAAACCCTAAACCCTAAACCGCGCCGGATACTGCCACACCAACCGTGAGGCTGCCTAGCTGACCTTCGCCACGTAATGTAGCGGGCTTAATGGTTTAGGGTTTAGGGTTTCGGGGCCCATATGGGCCAACTATACTATAGTTTTATGAGATTTTTTCATGCACAGACTGATGACATGCAAATTTAATATTTTGGCGTTCCGAGCTGTCCTGTGTGCCATTCTGTTTTGGTGTTCCAACTGCCATTTCCTTTTTGCTGTTCGGCTTTGCCATTCCTGTTTGATGTTCCAACTGCCATTTCCTTTTTGCTGTTCGTTTTTGCCATTCCTGTTTGTTGTTCCAACTGCCATTTCCTTTTTGCTGTTCGTTTTTGTCATTCCTGCTTTGGTGTTCCAACTGCCATTTCCTTTTCCTTTTCGGCTTTGCCATTGCTGCTTTGGTGTACCAACTGCCATTTCCTTTCTGCTGTTCGTCTTAGCATGTCTGTTTGGTGTTCCAACTGCCATTCCATTTTGGCTGCTCGCCTTGCACGTTCCTATTCATTGTTCCGCCAGCTGTTCCGGGTCCTAGAAGCAGTCTGAGTTTGCTTGTTTGCGGTTGTCATGCAAACCTTACTTGCAGAATGGCGGCATGTCTCGTTGTTTGCGTAAATTGCAGTGCAGATCCTTTGCAGTTTGTTTCGCATCATGGCTTCCTGGGAAGCTGCTTTGCTGGAAGATGCCCAAAAAGGCGAGGTGGCAGATGCAACTGATGATGCAGACGAGTACCGGGAGATATCCGAAGATGAATCTGATAGCCAGAAGACACCCTCATCACAGAGTGATGTCGTGGAGAACTCAGACAGCAAGTGGTGGTGGGTTGCAGTACTTCGGGAGGCAGTCGAGGCGGTGACAGGCAAGACAATGTGCAGTTCATTCCCACAGCGTCCCCTCCGCGTTCTGTCATGTTGCACTGGCTGCAGCGCTGAAAGCGAGGTTCTGAAGGCGCATCTTGCAGGGTTGTGGGAAGTCGTGGGTTGAGTCCATATTGTCTCGCCAGTCTAGATTCTAGTAGATTGCGAATCTATTGACACGTCCGATAAGCGGCTCCGGCCGTCAAGTGCAGTAAACAAGGCTTCCATTGCCAGAGGGCTGTCGCTGAACATGTTTGGCCATGAATGCTGGCGGCAGGCTCTTGGCCTACCTTTCTACGTCACCTCGGCTTCTGAGATGCGTGCCGATTTCCGGTCCTTTTTCAGGAGCAACAACCCTGCTACGGCGTTCCAACACATTTTTGGGTCTCTGCAGGACCAGCTCGTAGGGCGAAGATGCTTGCTGCACGGTCGCGACTGTGATCCAGTGGGCCACGGTCAGCTGGATGTCATGATGTCTGGTAGCCCGTGTGACCCGTTTAGCATCCATAGTGGAAAGAGATTTCAGTCGGGGAAAGTCCAGACACATCGCGACTTCTCTGTGACCATGGACTATATGGTTCAGATGTATCGCGAGCACCAGCCACGTGTAGGTATCTTCGAACAGGTGGAGGGATTTGTACGTCCCATGGAATGTGGATCCAGCGAGACGCCCTATTCAAGGCTCGCCTAAGCTTCGGCTGCTGGTTTGATTTCCTGCTTTGACACTTTCCTGTTGGCTGCTTGCTGCTGGTGGAACCTGTCATTGCAGGAGTGCCTTAGATTCTGAAGCCTGTTGAAGGGTGGGTGGGGCGGTGGGGGGTGGGCTAGGGCTGGGGCTGGGGCTGGGGCTGGGGCTGGGGCTGGGGCTGGGGCTGGGGCTGGGGCTGGGGCTGGGGCTGGGCCTAGCAAGGGGCGGTAGAGGGGGGGGGATGGGGGGGGGGATCGGCTCGGGATATTTTTTGCACAAGCGTAGGTGGTGGGGCGGGGTGGGACAGTATCAGTAAGCGTGTCATTTTTTTCCGTTGCAACCATGCTCCGATGCCTGGCAGGTTTTGTCAGTCTTTTGGCGCAGCGCTATCCGGATCTCCAGGATACTATCTGGTGAAGCTGCATTTGTGTGCATCCTTGTGGTTGACAATCCATCGGCCAAGGACCGCACTGCACTGCACATTGCCCTGCACTGTTATGGCCAACGCAGTGTCCGTCCATGTGTTGTTTGATGCAAGAGGCACAGGACTCGAAGAACTCTCGCCCGCAGCGTTTCACATTCAGAGCGAATTTGCTTCAATTTCACATGTTGATCCAGGTCGCGAAATTTTCATCAATTTGGTACGGCAATTACACAAACTCGTCGTCGCAGCTTGTGTCCAGTGTAGCTTCACGGGGCAGATTACGTCACAGGGCAGATTACTTCTGTGGTTGCTGGCCCACAGGGCTCTTCACTTCAGTCGCAGAAGGTATGTCGAGGGTCGGTGTGTCAATGCTGGGCTTAGCAAGTCTTGCTCGAATTTCATGCATTTTGCGGTGCAGTGCTGCCAGAGCTAGTTCACTGGATGGATGCGCATAAGGCGGCATGGATAGACGCCCTTGAATTGGACGCTGGGGTTGAGGAGTCTGCTGTAAATGAAGATGAAGATGTACGAAATGTACCGTCTCATCTTCATGACGACCAGGACGTAGACGTAGACATAGACCGCTTTGCTGAGTGGCTTTCTGACAGCGCAAGTGAAGCGCCAGACGCAGACTTGGGCTTGACTTCCGCTTCCGAGCCTGATGCAGCTGCAGGTTTTCGGCAGGAGACCCGAGGCAGGCCACGTGGCAGTGCAGACCTGCGCCGGTACATCCAGGAACACGTGTCGGAGGCGCCAGCGGAACCGGCGGCTACGGAGCCTTTGCCAGGCAGCATTGAATGTGCAAGAGCTGCCAGACAGAATCTTGCAATGCAGCGTCGAGCTGCCCGAGAGCAGGTGAAAAGTCGGGAGGAAAGCCTAGAAGTTGCAATGGAAACTGCCGTGGGTTCGTCAGTGCAGCGTACATTGGCCACTGCATGGTTGAAGGTTCGTGGCACTGCAACAACAGACGAAGACCCTGCTGCCAATGTTGTGTTGGGCCAGGTGGCATCCGCTGCGTCCGCACGCACTGTCTCCAAATTACTGAACGACGTGCAAGGAAGTGTCCACAAAATGCTGCTGCAGTGTGGGGCGGCAGTTTTTGCCATGGGATGCTGGATGTGGTCTGTGTTGGTCAGCTATTTTCAGCTGTGGAACAAAGTCCCCCATCTGCGTGTGGTCCTCCTGGTGCTGAAACTGAAGTACGACGAGACACCGATGCGTGTTAGAGTGGGGACATCGTCTGATGGGCAGCACCGCTTGCTGTCGAGGCGGGACCCTCAGGAGGCAGCCACAGCTGCCAAGATTATGCAGGTTCAGCATGCGCAGGGCGTGCTGCTACAGAACATGGGAGACAAATCATATGTTTACTGTCGCACAGAACTCCCTACGCGCCTCTGTGCCGTCGATAGGACGACCGCTGAAAACGTTCGTGCAGTGCTGCGTGACCATGTANNGTATTTGCAGTTCCAGACTCCTGGCAGCATGATTTTATGTTGAAGCTTACACACATTGCGAGCCCTCCAAGTCGAGAGGCAATGTCTTGAACGGAAAACTTTCGTCTAGGGTCCAGAGCCAGGTTGTTTTAAGAACATTCTTAGACTTAATGGTCAGGGGTGAATATATATATATATATATATATATGTCTATATATATATATATCTATATATATATATATATATTATTGTTATTGTATGTTTTCATCTTCAAGTGCTCCAAGCAAGGAGTTTGGCAGGCTGCAAGAGGCCAGTGATCATCTTTTCAGGATTTCTACTGCGGACCGCTACGCCGCAAACCTGAAAGCAGAGAGGGGGCTCCAGCAGGAGGGCGACTACCTCTCCCGATTCAACCATTGCTACCAACCTTGCACAATTCATAAGGTGCACTCCTGCGTCAAAGCGAGCAGTGTGCCATTCGCTGACGATGTGTCAGGCCTGTTGAACTGCGGCTTGGCTTGCCAAGACGTTGGGGCAACCAAAACGCTTCGAGCCATATTGGTCTCTATACTTTTGGAATCATTGGATGTGAGCTACACTCCGGCCCCCCGCGGTGAAGCAGAGCGCTACAGACAGCAAGCTCACGATCTGTATCTTCCCATCCACGGCGTCCCGAAGCCGCTTCAACGAAGCAATCAGAAGAGGCGGAAGATCCTTGAATATTTTTTGAATTCTGATCTTCAGGAGACAACACGCATCACTCATCACTGCAGCCCTTCATGCTGCCGAAATGAGCAGGAGACGCGGCGTCATCTGAGCCATTTTGTCAGCTGGGCGCTCATACCACAGAAGCTCCCGGTATTGAGCCGTAAGAGTTGGACAGGGTTCCAGCCTGCGCTTACATGGGCAGGTGTGCTCCACACACACCACAGCTTGTTCCAACGGGTGATGGGGGTTTATTTGGGAGTCCCGGTAACAGGGCCAGCAGCACAAGAGCAGCATGTGTTACATCGCAGCGGCGCAGATGCGTGGTTGGACAGCGTGATTGAGGATGATGCAGAGAATGTGCCGGCACCGCCACCTCTTCCAAGAGATGCCCCAGAATCAGGTCCGGGTTTGTCTGAGCCTGTTGACTGGGCAGAGCTGAGGCGAGAGCAGCGCCGCACTGCTAAGACCTGGGTGGCCACCGTTCCGGGACCGCGGTTGGCGAACTTGAACGACACGAGCAGGCCGCTACAGGAGTTGCTGACCAAGTTTCTCTACATCTCCAGCGATAAGTGGGAGCAGCAGCAACGTTTGCATGCCATGCAGTCTGGTGATCGTTCCTATGCAGTTCTTGAGCTGGCGTCGGGTTCAGATGTGAGCAAGGCTATGGAGGAGACGTTGAGGAAGTGCTTGGAGGCAATCCCAGCTGTGCCGTCAGCTTTGGTTGACATACCCTTGAAGATCCAGCGTTTCTGTGCCATGTCCTGCGGTGCATCTGCACTACATGCATTGCTACGGCTTCCTGCCCAGGGCATGCCATACCAGTTCTTCAAGCTGCTGAAGGAACGTCGCGTTGGTGAGCTTCTGGACGAGAGGCAATGGCCGAAGTGCATGCTGGACAGCCTGGCCAGAGCCATGCTGGTCAAGTTCCCCACGGCTGCTGCCCTGAAGAGCGACGAGTGTCAAGCCATCGCAGAGGTCCTGAGCATGATGTTTGATAGCGATATCTCTGACATCGAATGCCGGCACGCTCAAACGCGAGACCACAGCAAGGTGCGAGCACGAGGTTGGGTACCTTCCTTGGAGACACTTGCAGCCAAGTTCGCTTTGCGCGGGAGCAATCACGCCCGCTACAATCCAGAACCAGGCCGTCGCAGTTGGAAGACAAGGACCCCTAAGAAGAAAAAGGGGGGTGGCGGTGCGTGGAGGGCTTTTGTTCAGCAGCACGCAGAGGGTGTCAGGAGTGCGGCAGAACTTGCGGTCAAGTACCGGCACCTCAGCCGCGCTGAGAGATCGCGATTGGAGCTTGCGGGCAAGATTGCAACGGCAGCCCACAGACAAGGACACAGCAGCTTTGGTGTCAGACAGAGAGCCCCTCAGAAGGCTCCAGGCGGTTTGGCCCTTGTGCCAGGCCTCTTGCACGCAGAAGCCATGGTGGCTGAAGATGAGCAGCCCATGTCCATGCTTGAGGCAGAACGGCGGGATCTGAACTTTTATGACGGCCCGACCTTTGCGGAACGTTATGCGACTTGGAAACAGGAACAACAGCAGGTGATGGCGGCATCCAATCAAGACACGGAGCGCGACAGCGAACTGGCAAAGTTCGCATTGGACCTGCAGCCATTGCCGCCCTTGGCAAGCCATGCTGCAAAGCATGAACCTGGCTTGGTGAGCTCGGAGCATTTCGGCCGTTTTCCTTGCGTGCTGAGCAAACTCAACGCATTCGAGTGGATGCCCAACATTTCACGCATGGTGCAGGCTGGATGGGCTTCGAGTCTTCGAATTTGCAATTTACAATTTACAACTTACAAGCAGCTATGACATGATGTTGTAAGGTTCTTAATGCAGAGTTTGCTAGGTCTAGGTGCTGGGTCTATAGAGTGTAGAATCCAGCTCCCAGTCGAGCTGCTTGCTGCCAGGTGTCACTCCAACGCACTAGATCACTAGAACTGATATCACGTAATTATGGCATGTCTGGCTAGTGCACGCCTTGCACCGTCCGGCTGTCACTGCCAGGAGACGCTTGGCCGACAGAATGTGGCGCTGAAGAGAAGACTGAAAGTTGTTCAGACACTCCTCAGTGACTGGACCCAGAAGTGCGAGGTTTATTTCCATGACGACCAGGAGCCTGTGGTGGAAGACAAGTGCCGTTTTTTTCGACCCAGCCCGTGTTTCTTGAACGGTTGCTGCAGCTGTGATTCCAAGGAAAGTGTGAATTTCCAATCCAAGTTGTCGAGATATCTGCGGTCTGTGTTCAGCAAGAAGGACGGTGTTGTGCCCAAGGAGCGATTGTTGCTGGATCGACGTCTTGTTTTCCTGGCCTTCCACACTCAGGATGTCCGCTCCAGTGCTGCGACGGTGAACAAGGCGGAGATCTTCATGCACGTAGCCTACGTGAACTTGACATCGTGGCGGTTTACTGGATTGAAGATGCACCCTGTTCGCTGGAGCGAAGATGGCTGCGTCACGTTGCAGATCATTGCTGACAGCAGCACTGCAGCGGATGCTTCTCTGCAGGTGCAAACAGATATGGAGCTCTGCCTTCGCTCTCTCAACTTAAGCACAGGTTGCGAGGTTTCGTTGTATGTCCTTTCAGACAAGACCTCTCATTGGGAGCCACAGCAAGGAGTCAATTTGGTTCCTGTGGTCGCTCTGCCAGATTTCTCCTTCCACTGGATGAATGACGACGGTCCTGAGCCCTCCCGGCGTGGTGGACGTGGTAAGAAGAGACAGAGGAACGATGAAGACATGGACGAACTCGAGCTGGCGCAGCGATTGTTGGATCCAGGGCCAAGAGCTGCCCAGACAAAGTCTGCTCCCAAGCGTGGAGCTAGCGACCAGGCAGCCGGCGAGCAGCCTTCCGAGGATGAGGACCGTCTGGACCGTGAATCTGTCGCGGCTTCGGAGGCCTTGGAATCTCAAGGCTCAGCTGCGTCTGCTCTCAGCTGGCTCGAGGAGTTAGACAAGGCGTCGGAATCAGCAAGCGATGCCTCCAGTACAGATGGCAGCGACGTCATCGCGGAATTGTTTCCTGTGGAGGGCGCCAAGCAAGCGGGGGAGGCTGCGCCAGTCAGCGCACGTGAGGCTGGCGAGGCTGTGCCAGCGGACGCAAATGCAAACCAAGCTGGCGACGCTGCGGCAGCTGGCGAGGGTGTGGCAGCGGCAAGGCGCGCGGCTGCTTTGCGGGACCGTACGGGCACGCAAACTCTACGCATCGGCTCGTTTGGGGAGCTCCGGTTTCTGCCGCAGAGCTCCCAATTCGTTGCTGTGTGCGAACATCCTGCGCACGGGGACTGCCGACGTGCGAGGACTGCCATTGGCAGCAGCAGCGACAGACTGAACACTGCGATGCAGAGAGGACAAGGACGTCCGCTGGGAATGCTCACCGCTTGGCTGCAAGCCCAACATGCGCATGAGTCGCAGCAAAGTCACTGCCATGGCTTCGCAGCAAGCCTGGAGGTGTGCCGATCAGCGAGAGATTACATGCTCACGCTTCCTGGTGGCTCTGATTTCTCCCAGCGTTTTGAGCGCCCTTGCAGACCGGATGAGCCGGCAGAACCGGCAGGCATCAGGTAGTCAGGTAGTCCTCGCCTTGATCCCAGCAGTCCGTCCTTCCCAGGCCTCGCGAGCTCAGGGCAAGGAAGCTCGTCGTACACGAGACAGTTGCCCGGGAGATGGGGAATCAACTTGTTCTGCAACTGCCAGAAGTCATGGCAGGCAGGATGATGTCCAAGACATATTTATCTTCGCACATTCTCAAGGAATCCGCGAGACTACGTCGCATCACGAAGTTGACCTGCGTGCCAGAATCTGCTTGAGCGCATGGAAAAGTCCTCTAGAACCCGTGTGCTTGTAATTGCTTCGAGAATCAATTCTCGTTGGATGCAGGGTCGCGACTGATTCGGCATGAAAAGTCCTGTCTGCGCAGGATCTTCCTGGTGCTGATGCGCAAGGATCTATACACCAAGGAGCGTGTTTCGAAGTTCAAGCGTGCGGTGGAGGCAGGCCCCGGGCTTCCTCATAACATGAAACCTTAAACTGTGAACTGTGAACCCTAAGCCCTAATCCCGACCTCCTACACTGCAAGTTCTCCTCCGAAAGGCTACACAGACCTAGTAAACAGCCAGATCTCTGTATTCGATGTAACTCGTGTCTCGACGTTGCCCATGAGCCTGAAGTGCCAGAGTGTCTGTGGTCCCTGCATTCTCCTTCTTGTGCTGACATGGATGCGCGAGTGCGGTTTCTGCAGATCTGAATCTTCCCTGTTCCAAGCGCGTGGCTGCCATTATCAGGTAAGCCGCACGTGTAGGAGTCTAGGAGCTGTGTAGGTGATGCAGCTTCAATTTCCAAGCTTGCGCAATGCATGCTCAAGGATTCTAGGATTCTAGGCATGCTTTTGTTGACGGCGGCGTGGGAATGACTCAAGGGGCAGGCACTGCTGTAAGCCTTGGAGTGGAGGCCATCCGACATTGTTTGAGATCCTGGACAAATTGCTGAGACTTGAATGTTCCTGTGGCTTGTTGCTTGCGGGCCTCCAAGAGTTTCCGCGACCTGTTCGAGTTTCATTTGATCACTGACCAACGACTAGTAGTTGACTAGTAAGTGACTAGTAGTGACCAGTCCAGTCCCTTTTGAAAGGTTCATGCTTCAAAACTCAAAACCCTGAATCTTGAAGTCCTATTGTCTATAGAGTCTATACTATAGTTACTAGTGTTTCTAGTGCCAGGCTGCAAAGGGCGGTGATGCAGAGCAGACATGTTTCTGCTGCCTTCCAAACCTTGAGGAAGTTACACCCAGGATTGTTTTCATCGTCATGTTATTTCCGTGTTTGACGTGTGACCTCTGCCAGTATGAGTCCGTGCAGGGCTTTGTTGCCAGACACGCTTCTGCAGTCAGCCTGCTCGTCTCGAGGCTTCCCGTGTAACCAATAAGTCAATAAGCGTAATCTTGGAAGCCAACCATACGCCGGTTGGCTTGGGCAGCCTCCTCCTTCCGAAGGGCAGCACGAGGTTTAAACAGCAGCTGGCAGAGCATTTTGCGCAGAGTGGCAAGCAGGCCTTCGCATGTGTTGGGATTTGGCAGCTAGCATGCGTGTGAGATTCTAGTTTCATGCTGTACCTCTCGATCGAGCCCAACAGCTGTTCCGCCGTTCCATTAGAAATTAGGCTTTGCTGCAACCTTGTGGTCCACCGCTTCTAAATTTTTGTTGGAGATCCACGCGCAGGCATGGGGATACCGTGCTGTAATGAGGTCAGGTGTCACAAATCCACGCCCGCGAATCGGGACATCGGGTGTGGTGAAGGGTCGCGACTCCGTTCTGTTTCTCACATTCTTTTGCACGGGCAGCGGTATGTTGCAGGAATCCATCTACATACACTCCAAGCCAAGCCCAAGCCGTGCAGGGCAAGTTTTGTTGTTTTTTACTGGACACCTTGTAGGCCTAACCCCTCAGACTGGCCCCAGCCAAAAGCCTAAGCTCTAACCCCCAGCCAAAGGCTGGGAGGGGAGGGAGGAAGGAGGATGAAGGGAAGGAGGGAGGGACCCAACCCCACCCCACCATGATGCCGCAGGTGCGCGCGCGCGCGCGCGCGCGCGCCTTCAGCATCCTGCGCACCGGTTTCCTTTCTCGTGCTTTGGGGTCCTTGACACCCCCAGAACCGACGCCCACCCCACCCCACCTGCCCCGCCCTGCCTCCCTGCCTGCCCTGCCCCTGCCCGGCCCTGCCCGGCCCTGCCCTGCCCGGCCCTGCCCTGCCCTGCCCTGCCCCCAACCCCTCTCCCTTGCCGGGCCCGGTTGGTTTTGCCATTCTGGTTGCCGTTCCCGGAACCGTTTCCCGGGAATGGCAAATGCAGTAACATCCACGAAGGGCCCGGAATGGCTCGGAAATGACAATGCTTCGAGGATTTGTCATTCCCGGCCTCTGTGCGGACCCGCCTGATTTGTCATTCCCGGTTGTCGTTCCGGGCTCCGGGCCCCTTCCGTTGCCATTCCCGGTTGCCGTTCCGGGCTCCCGGCCCGTTCCGTTGCCATTCCCGGTTGCCGTTCCGGGCTCTGGTCGGTTTGTTTTGCCATTCCTGGTTCCCGCTCCGTGAACTGTTCCCCCACACCGAGTGGCCTGGTTTGCAGCAGGATCCGCAGCTCTTGCGCGACCGTTTATGATCCAACAGCACAGTCCGGTTAGTCAAATTCGACCGCCGCACAGCCTAAAGCCTAAGCTCTCACCCCCAATCAAAGGCTTGGAGGGGAGGGAGGAAGGAGGATGAAG